ATCGTCGATTTATTACATCAATATCCTCCGGTAGTTTTGTAATGATCCGCTTGGGGCACACAACCTCTGGTTGCGACGATAACCTTTGCCTGTTAGTGTTGATCTTATTGCATTGGTTTGTCTATCTGTCAGACGGAGAGGAGAAGGAAGATTGATAAGGTTAGTCCTGACAGATAGCTCAACTTACGATCGCTCGTGAAAAATAATGTTGTTCTTTATAGTAGACTTTCCGGAGGTTCATGGCATAAAGGTAACGCGATTTTCAAGGGTTTTATCATTTGCAGAAGCCCGAGGTCTGCCATTTTCTGCCCGAAAAGGAGGAAGTTGAACTGAACTAGCACAGACAGAAATAGTTTGAACTTCACTGTCCACTAAGACACTCACATTTTAGGAGATATTACGAACCAGTGAGAATAAAATTGCTTATTAGACACGTATAAGTGGCTTATCGTAGACAAGTACAATTTACTAATCAGTTAGTAGAGATTACTAATCATCTTTCGAAGAATGCTCTTCTCATAAATTACTAACTGCAATAGGTCACTTACTAAGCTTGTTATAAGTTTTATAACACTTTAATAAAGTTTTGCGGTCATTCTGCACTCATTGTTGACAGCTGCTGAATACCGCTTCCGTGAAACAAGTAAATAGCAAATTATATAGACAATACAGGTGAAAAATAACATAGAATGAGTTGCAGCTAATCCGATGTTGAATCTTTGAAATGATCAGTTAAAACCCATAGGCTCGGAGCTCCGGAAAAATCTAACCAATTTAGATCATGGTTCTAAGAACCCTAGCCTAGCACCTAAAATGCGTAAACAACCTTGTTTTGAGAACAGAATTTAAAAAGATATTCAAGTACACTATGCACAACTTTGAGAACACTGTGTGAGTCGCGCACCTCTTTTTTGGCGACTCGGGTGTCCCGGGGATGGGGCAGGGGAAGGGGGTTGAAGTTCCCCTCCATCCCTGCTAAGTGGTGTTTAACTAACAATATCGTCAATGAGGATGTTTAAATTTATTTCCTTTATTTCCTTTGGGCTGAAATATTCAATCTTCAATCTCTATCATCACAAGTACTCTTCACAACCTCCATTCTTTGTACACAGTAGAAGTGTTAAAGTGTTTTACGCCGATTTTACCCAAATCCCAGCAATATTACATCTGAAGACACCAGATAGGCTTCACACAATGAACCTACGTGGGAAATTGAACCCGGGCCTTCAGTGTGACGTACCCGTGAATATCCGGGGTAGAATAGGTCTTCGGCAACCCATGCTTGCCGTAAAAGGCGACTATGCTTGTCGTAAGAGGCGACTATGCTTGTCGTGGTCAGGGTGGTCAGGCTCGCTGACTTTGTAGATGCGTGTCATCGTATCCCAATTGCGTAGATCGATGCTCATGATGTCAATTACTGGATTGTCTGGTCCAGACTCGATTATTTACAGACTGCCACCATGCAGCTTGAATATTGCTTAGGGCGTGACGAGTGACGAGTGACGAGTGACGAGTGGACGCTTTAACCACGACGTTATTCAACCCCCTTCCAATCCGGCACAATACCAATGGCATGGGTCATTGAGGAAGAATCTACATGGTTTAATTTAGACGCACATTCTCACAGAGGTACGGTTTCTTAAATGTAAGCAATGTTGTGAGGTGAGGTGAAAATGGGATTTAACGTCGCGTCCAAGATTATTGCACTTATATAGCGATGTGCATGTACGTGTGTGTGTTTGTGTGGCTGCTTGTGCTAGTCCGGACTGATGCCGATTTATAGTGCTAGCTCACTGAGATACCATGCCGCAGTTTTAACATGAATATCCCACTGAGACACAGTATACTGACTCCGAGTCGACCAGTCCTTGTTTTAGCCCCTTAATGCCGAGCGCCAGACAGGGTAACAACAAGTACCACCTCTTAACGTCTTTTGCTATGACGCGGCTGGGGATCGAACCCCGGACCTTCCGCTCACCGGGCGGACGCTCTACCACTAGACCACGGAGGCGGTCAGCAATGTTGTGAAACAAAGGTTGTAATATATCTGAAATAAGTCAGATTCGCGTAAAAGCGGTCGTTATGTAACATAAAGGTTTAACATAAAATACAAAAACATATTGGAGACATTCCAGAGGGAAGCGGACTCACTCGGTAGCTTAGTAACTAGCTAGACTATATAAATCTCCCTGGCCCGGTGGGGCACGGGTGGCCCAGTCGTCTAAGGCGCCACGATTCGCTGTGCAGAGTTGCGTCCCTTTGGCACGCCAGAAACCTATGATTGTGGGTTCGAATCCCGGTTCGCCCCAATTATGTTTCTAGGTTTGTCAGCACCATACCCGTGCTCTTGGTTTCGCCGAAGTGGTAATTATAAACGTCTAAAACCTGCATCACTTCGGGCTTTCCTCCCACATTTAGCTGACACGCCGCGATATGACTGGAATACTGTTAAAAGCGGCGTTAAACCCAACTCACTCACTCACTCACCCTGGCCGGAATCACTAGTCCACAGGTGACTGGGCACAGCGGTACAACACTCTTGCTTTATGTCTTTATCAATGCAGCTTGAGTCCCACCTGCACCGTTACATTTAGAATTTGCATGATGCGTTGGGGGAATAGTTGTTATATTAGCCTAAAAGCACACCATCGAGCGATATTCAAAGGCTGGAAGACCTGAAGTACCACGTGACAAAATACGTCAGAATGGAATTCCCGTGCCTCACAAATCCAGCATTTGCATATCTTCCAGTTAGGACATATGTACAGAAAGTCCGTATGAAGTGAGTGAATATGGTTTGAGGCCGCTTTTACCAATATTACAGCCGTATCATAGTCTGTACCACCAGAAATGGGCTTCACACATTGTACCCCTATGAGGAATCGAACCCGGATCTTCGGCGTGATTCGGCTTAAACCACTTGGCTATCCCCCCGCCCTTGTAGATCTTAAAATAATATGATAATGTGAAATATGGCACTAAGAAGCGCTTTCAATTAAATTCCTTTAACATTTGTATTTATGACCGGAATGAACTGATGGGAAAAGATATCATCTGTAATGTTAAACGGAACCGACCGCCTCCGTGGTCTAGTGGTAGAGCGGCATACCGAAAAAGACGTTGAAAGATGGTACCGGTTGTTACACTGTCTGGTGCTCGGCATTAAGGGGTTAAAACAAAGATTGGTCGGCTCAGAGTCGGTAAAGTGTGTCTGGGTTGAGTGTGCATGTTAAACTGCGGCACGGTGTATCAGTGGGCTAGTACTATAAAATCGGCATTTGTCCTGACTAGTACAACCAGGCCCAGGCACACACACACACACACACACACACACACACACACACACACACACACACACACACACACACACACACACACACACACACACACACACACACACACACACACAACAAACAAACAAACAAACTCACCGTCAACAGAGCCTATCATCCAAAACTGCTCAAAATATCAACTTGTTGAGTTTAGTTTTAATATCCTCACGAATCAAGCACAACCCATAAGATATTTTGGGGTTAAGTACAAATACAGAGAGCGGAATGGTGAGTTTAATCCCCTTACCTTCTTAAAGATGTTTTAACCTTTCGAGTTTTAAGGTCACGGCCTGAAACACATGCGAATATGATATTAAGAGTTTGGACGTTTCATGGATTATCACTTTACTCACCAATCACATGCATTCAAAGGGAAACACATGTTATTTTAAATATAATAATCAGATAAGTGGTAAGAACAAAAACGCCAGTAAAAGCTTGCTTCAAGTAAGGCAATCTATAATATTTCACCAAAATAGATCAAGCCCTCAAGTTTCACTTTCGTATGTCTGTCACAGGTGTTTGTGTGTAGATCAATGTAGCAAAGACTAAATATGGTGCTTTCTTAAGAAACTTTTACGTATTTCATAATCTGTAACATGTTCCACATCTTTGACCAGAAATTTCGTAAGATGGGAATAACTTACTTGCTAGCAAGACGTAGGTGTAAAGAACATCTCTCATTTCACAGTGAAACGTTCTTAGTAACTTGACATAATCAATATGTAAAACTAAATCAATTGTTTTTCTCTGCGTCATTTCAACCAGTCGTCCTTCTGTCGTTGAATAGTGACGTCATCTGGTTTGTTCTATGACGTTTCCATATTTGTAAAAGTGGGTCAGTGACATTCGTGTTGATTGCAGTAAATTTTTCAAAACCGATATTGTTGTTTCTTTTTATTTGATAACAAATTCCATCCATTTTAGCTATAATAACGGTAACGCTATTTTTCAGGGCATTATCAATTGCAGAAGCCCTCGGTCTTTTCAAATGCCCTCCTTCGTCGGTCAGTTGATGGAAGACCTCGGTCTTCTGCAAATGATAATGCCCTGAAAAATAGCGTTACGCTTATACTACTAGTTGAACAGACCCGTGAAGAACCGAGGTAGAATAGGGCTTCGGTAATCCATGTTTGCCGTAAAAGGCGACAATGCTTGTCTTAAGAGGCGACTCCAGACTCGATTATTTACAGACAGCCGTCATAGCTGGGAAATTGCTGAGTGCAACAATTAAACAAATAAAACAAAACGAGTTAAATAAGTCTTGCTTTTCCATGCATGAGATCTGAGCTGAAAGCTTGACGAGATGTCTGTTTCCTAAGGGGACGCTGTCAACAAGAATAGCAAGCATCACCATAACTAATTATTCTTCCTCATCACCAACTATTATGTTCTGGAAATGAAACCAATCTGCCGATATCATCCTACGTTATACAATCACAGTACATCTGGCATGCTTTCATGGACACTAATTAACAATATGAAGCGACATTTAATAGAGCTAGAAAAGGAGCTAATCGTTTGACATTAACCGTAGCTTCCAACTAACTCAATTGTATCTGTGACAATTGTTTTTGCCATCAATATTGAATGCAGAATTGCAGCGGCAGTGGACTGCGGTACGCTGCAAAGCTGTGAGTGACCCATACCGCTGGCGTTCTCGCGAGGAGCACGTCCACAGCAATACCTGCACCGCCCGGTGGCAGCAACGTGAGATAGTCTTCCATCTAAGCCACCTTTTCTGTCGTCTATAAAAAGTAAAGCATTTTAGGAAAGCGTGTATGTTTTCAAAGGGGATGGCGATGAAGCTCGTCGCCTGTTGAATCGGCCTCTGTCACAGAACGACTTCACCATCTGTAACTGTTACACACGTGTCAAGGCTGCACATAACACCAGGTGAGTGACGCTATTTTTCTACCTATCGCCCAGGGCTGCAGAATCACTTTTTATACAGATTCAGCTAGCATCCAAGTACGGGTATTCTGATTCTGCCTGATGAACCAATTAGATTCGTTTTAGGAGAGTTTTATGATATTGTATATCTGAAATGATAAGAGAATTTTTAACTCGTCCTCGAATGTAATAGTCTCGAATTTTCGAATGTTTTTCTGTCAACTGATATATGCTGAACTGTATGTGAAATATCGTTAACACATGAACATGTATCACAGCGAAACAGACACATAAATATCAAACTACACAAACACATGGAGGCAGGTGTGTCATAACCAAAGATTTAAATGATGATGATATATAACCATGTACAAATGGTCGGTTATCATTATATCATATATTATGTATATTATATCATTCATATTAATCATCAAACATCACAAAATCACATATAGATGTTAACACATTTTATTCAATAGACATGTTTCCCAGTTCACTACAAACTCCATATTGATAAAATTATGTATTAAGAAACAACATATTAGCATTAATCATCAAAGAATATTTACATGTAATGACTAAGATTCCTTCCCTTACTTGACCCCTACTTTCAATTGTGGGAACTTGCGAAGTTTTCAGTATTTGAATTTATCCATACGATACACTGCAATACTCACTCACTCGCTCACACGCTATTCTTAAACAGCTTCTTGGGGTTTTGTATATATTTTTCTGCCAGTGCGCAATTGTAGTGTATGGTAATCCCATTCATAGTCATGTTTATAAAATAGTTTCAAAGGCCGTCACAATGAATGCATGTTCCTTTTTATTATATGGATTTCAGCAAAACATACTTTTAAAATGTTCAAAGGATAAAGTCTCATATTCATATATTTCTTATATTATTTATCGGTTTTATTTACCTTCTTCAAGAATAAATTAAATACCTTTAGCCGCTTTTTATACTTCTGAGCGTATAGTGTTGTGTATTTATGGTCAATACGTACTGCTTGGGCTATGTTCCTTGACATATAATTGAATTAGATGATTCATATGGTAGACACTAGACTGAATCATTGATTGTTCATAAAAACGAAGACTGGAAAATAATTCATCTTAATGTATTGGTCCCTGTTAGACACAGCGTGGGTTTCCAAATCTACAGTGTAGCTGAGCATACAACATGATCTAAGTTTAGTGTCACACTCTCGAAACACCATGTGCCGAACTTACACGCATCCTTTTGGAATAAATAGTTGCTGAACTTTTTACATGAATCTTATAACTTTTTATAACTTTCTAGAAGGTAGTTTTTATTAGCTTAAAACAAATGTTATTGACATTAAAAGTTTTAGTGGATTGGGCAAAAGATAACTTTCAACGCCCTTTCCATGAACATATATGCAGACAGCGAACAAGTGTAAATATTGAAAATATTAACGTGATTAAAGTGTGATTCTTCCATGAGATAGTCACTTGGTGTGGGATTGTAAATGGAAAAAAACACGAAATGTAACATACGATATGTCTAAATGTTAATAAAATCTCTTTCTTGACATAATATATTTTTGCACACTCTTAAATTGGATGATGTATGTTTTAATGAACATGAAATAATAACATTAGGTTATCAAGAATAACCTCCAACTGATAAAATATTGTCATATAATGAAGTTTAAATGGCATTATCATTAAAACATTCGAGAAAAGTGATAGACTTTTGATAGTGATAGATTTCCACACAGGTATTTTAACCTTTTTACTATATTTACCTTTTGCTACACTGACATATGATATGATGCCAGGAATCTCTTTGAAATAGTAGACAAATAACTTTGATCATGGAGCAGCAACAAACAGTCATTAGATACACGATACAGAAATCGTTTGTTTTTCAATACGTGTATGTCCCTTTGTAAGCAAAGACAATGGGGTTTCAGCACAAAATTAAAAAATATGATTGTATGTAAGGCTATTTTATATGAAAATATCAGGTAATCGGTGCGTACACTTTTTCACTGTTTATAGACAGTGCTTCTGTATTTGATTGTTTTACTGTCTACTTTATATCTCTGTCTCTGATTGCATCTCCGGGTCTTGGTCACGTCTCGCCTACCAGAGACGCTGTAACGTGGCCAGTACTTGTCACGTTGTGAGTTAATGATCCCCTCCCTGGGGTGACAAAATAAGCATGACTATTTCAGCGCACAAAGGCGACAGGCAGAACAAGCGTTTTAATAAGAGTGAGTGAGTGAGTATGGCTTAACGCCGCTTTTAGCAATATTCCAGCAATATCACGGCGGGGGACACCAGAAAATGCACTTCACACATTTACCCATGTGGGGAATCGAACCCGGGTCTTCGGCGTGACGAGCAAACGCTTTTACCGTACCACTAGGCTACCCGACCGCCAAATGACAGAGTCACAGGCCAAAACCATCGGGACAACATCAAGGCACCACTCGTGGTCTCATTTGCACGTCGATTTGGGAAACGTTTCATCTTTCAAGATGATAATCCACGTACCAGGATTGTGACCCGATTCTTCCAACAGCAAATCATCCATGTCATGCCATGGCCAGCACTCAGTCCTGACCTTTCCCGCAATGATCACGTGTGGGACGTCATTGGCAGGCGTGTACGTCAACGTCAAAATCCACCCACAACTTTCAATGCACCGGTGTTGCTCTCACTCATGAGTGGAACAACATGAGTCGAGCTGACATTGGTCGACTCATGAGAAGCATGCCTCGAAGAATTCGTGCATGTCTGGCCAACATACTTCTTTAACGGCCTAGTACGTCACCATCTCACCATCACAGCAACTGTTTGAACCATATAATCCAACCGGCTACACCCGAGCCGCCTCCGTGGTTAAGTGGTAGAGCGTCCGCCCGGAGAGCGGAAGGTCCGGGGTTCGATCCCCGGCCACGTCATACCAAAACACGTTAACAGATGGTACTTGTTGTTACCCTGTCTGGCGCTCGGCATAAAGGGGCTAAAACAAGGACTGGTCGGCTCGGAGTCAGTATACAATGTCTGCGTGGGGAATTCATGTTAACCTGCAGCATGGTATCTCAGTGGGCTGGCACTATAAATCGGCATCAGTCCGGACAAGTACAAGCACACACACACACACACACACACACACACACACACACACACACACACACACACACGGACAAACACACACACACACACACACACACACACACACACACACGTTGAACCCCATTTCACTTCACCTCATCGGCTTCACCCCAGCAGACATGATCATATAGATCAGATATGTCTGGATGATTCCCACAATCCCCTACATGACACAGTAAATATATATATTTGTGAGATTGACCAGTGTACAATAGCACATTTGTATTGAATTTCGCAAAGATAATGAAACGACACAGATCGGTCTTCATTTTTCAGCTTCTTCAGGGAGATTATGCTTAAACATGTAGGAGAACAATTCGTGTTTAATATATTATCTTTTTTTATTTTTCTTTAATTTTAGTTCGTTATAACCGTGGTTCGTGAAAGGATATACACAACAAATGGACGGGAACAAAAAGCAGTTCGTTTTATCCGTTAGTTCGTTATAAGCGTGTTCGTTATAAACATAGTTTATGTGTATGTACGTACGTACGTACGTACGTATGTATGTATGTATGTATGTATGTATGTATGTATGTATGTATGTATGTATGTATGTATGTATGTGCGTGTATGTATGTGCGTGTATGTGTGCGTGCGTGCGTGCGTGTGTCTGTGTGCCCCTGACACTTCCAGGTTTACCGTGTAAGCCAACGCCTCACCAGTCACCATACACGCCATTAGACACACTAGATGGCTGGTGGAAATGTCTGTCATATCGTGGGCTGAGGAGATCATATACTCGGTTTGGTTAGACTCGTGTTACGTTAGTTCTAGTAAATAAAAGGATGAAGATATCATTTATTTCAGGAGCACGAACGCATGTGCCATTGTCAGCATGCTACAGCCTTAAGAAAACACTTAGTTAACAGGATATCCATTTTATATAATCTCCTGTATTTTTACTTTGGAGTTTTATTGAAAGTAAAATAATATTGTAGCGGTACAGTTAATGCCAAAACAACGTTGCGTTCAAATGTTGAAGTTTGCTTATTTAGGAGCTCTTTTATACCACAGTCGTTACTTGATGAAGCCAAACTTGTTACGACAAATATGTCCTGATGGTGAAGGTACTGAACAGTAATAAACTAAATAATAGAATAGAATAATACAAATACTTAAACTTTAAGTTCTACGTTATATGCTTAACGCATGTCAGAGGGACTGGACAGTGGACTGATAATTCATTATGACCGTTGAGGGTGGAAGGCTCGTAGTAAAAAAAAAAAAAAATTTCTGTCGGGGGCACTTAAAAATTCAACACAGTTGTATTCTTCTCAAATATGGTGCGCAATTGTATTACTGTTTGTCCACCGCGCCAATTTTTAATTCAGATCAAAGTTTCCGGAGTCAAAGCCAGTACACATGTACAACTAGAGAAGTTATTTAAATGCGTCAAACTTGTGACAAATATTTGGCAGTCATGTCGCACAAAACTTTCATTGGTATTAGGGATACTGTTTATACGGGAAGTGTATATATACGGAAGTATGTATATACGGAGGTGTATATATACGGAAGTGTGTATATACGCACTTTTTCTTATCTTAAAGACTTTGTAAAATGACGTCATTCATTTTGTCAATAATTTTGTGAACCAAACTCGCTTTTATTAAATTGAGTTACAAAACACATTTCACAACTTTTGAGATACAATCGAGCATGCTCTTTCTATCAAGATTTCAAAGAGCTTCATTCGACTCTTGCTCAGAATTTGCTTGATCAAGGTTACAACATTCAAGGCCTCAGCAAAGCTTTCAAAACGTTTTATGGTAGACATGTGGAGGACATTTCCAAATTTGACACATCAGTGACAAAAACGACATCCGATACAATTCCCTATTTTTGACTTG